GTAAACGAAAAGGTTGTAAACCAAGCGCCAGGAAACATTTACATAAATGAAGGCCTAACAAAACATGTTTAAACAAGCCAGGAAATCCTTCAAAGATAAACATATTAAGGGATCCTGGACTATTGATGGTAAGCTTTTCATCTGCCTATTCCCAGCTAATGAAGAAGACCAAGACAAGATAATGCTCCTAAGAAGATTAATAGACTTACCTGGATAGGTACCGACAGCAGGTGAACTTAAAAAGTATGACCTTGGCATTACTAGCTCATTATTTCACCAGTAACCAATGTATCCTTTAATAAAATACATTATAAATATTATAAATCAATAATATGACCAAAGTTGTAAATAACTCACTGTTGCATATTAAGCATATCTATATAACATGCGTAGGTCCTCTAAAATCTATTATTCAGTCTTATAACCCTGTAGCTCATAAATTCTGGCGCAACAAATCTCGCTAAATGACAATACGATCATTGCAAAATCTAGCTTGTTATGTTTTTGGAGACTGGATAACAAAATTAGTTTCGATGTGTCAGAAATAGCAGGTATTGACATTAAAAGATCCTATGCTGATATGAGCTCTCTTATGTTGTAGTTTCTGATTGTATTAAACATACATTATGTAAGATTTAGATAAAGAGCTAGCCATTCTTGCTATAATAGTTCGGAAATAGATAATGTAAAATGAATTGCAAACGAAGATATTAGCCTTTGAAGGTTTGGCAAGACGTGTGCAATAATTTCAACGGCCTAAAGAAAGACCTGCAATAGACAGATTTAGCTCTTGCATAATGTATGTTTAATGTAACATTTATATTATAATGTCCCGACACCTGTATTTTCTGAATCAGTTATCACATATTGTGTAAGGGGTCATCACGGTGGCTACGTGGGTAAGACGCTGCGCTGGCTCCAGATTTTCCGGCGTGCCACCCCCCATCCCCCGTCAGTGATGCAGGACGGAGGGCTTGACAAGACAGCTGTCTAGTCGTTCGGATGGGACGCAAAACCGATGTCCCGTGTACACATTGGCGTACACCTAAAATATCTCTGGAATTCGATATAAGAGTAGGCCGTAGGCAAAATTTACCTCATAGCACACTGCATGGCGTATGCGCGTCTTCATTAGCCCAGTTCGGAGCAGAGCAGTAGGGCTGCTTATTGACACACAATTTCACACTCCCTATATAGCCTACATGTATGCATCTTCCATACTTAACAATGCAACTAGTGAAAGTCTAGTAATATTAGTAAGCCTTGAACATCAACCTGCTCCGGTTGCAGAACAATTAAATTAAAAAAAAAACTGTCTTCATAATATACACACACACCATCTATCTAAAAATAATGATCTATAATACATATGATAACATTAATAGTAAAATGCCAGAATCTAGTACGCATTTGAATTTGAAAAAAAAAAGTATGTATTGCCTGGATCTTAGCTAAACAATAATAATAGCCCTACTAATATTATAATATTATTATACTAGTAAGTTTTCCCTGGATCTTAGCTAAACAATAATAATAATAGCCCTACTAATAATACAATAGTAATGATAAACCAGAACTACGACATATGTTGAATGATGTCTATCGCAGCACTACTGATATAACATGTATCCATATTTGGAGGGTCTAGAGCACAAGTGATCTAACAACCAACTAAAATGGTTGGTAGTTAGATCACTTGTGCTCTAGACCCTCCATTTGTTCTAATATTTTTTATATTTACACAATAGAAATCCTTTAATACAAACAACTGCTATTTACTCACCTGTTCTAACGATGTGCTCACGAAGCCATCCTCGATCAGTTTTCACACGGGTGAAGTACAAAGGTGTCTCCTGTTATCCAGTCTCCAACAATTCCACGTTTTTATTTTTCACATCTGTTACATAAAATAGCTCCCCTTTTAATTAGATAATTTTACTTTGTGTCGATATAAATATAAACTACTATATCTAATTTTAAAACATAATCTGCTCCGATATCCTGATGTTTCCAAACATGCCCGCGGTCATATTGTTTTCTGTACATATTATATTTATCTTAATGTTGCATTGCTCTTGACTAGTACGGTTTTATGTGCTATATATAGAGAATCTCCTACCAGTCCGTTTTTATATCAAAAAATATCAACGGAAGAAAGTAACAAAAAACGAGGCTCTGCCGAGTTTTTTTTTTTTTACTTGATCAACGAGTGTTGATATTTTTTGTTATCAAAAAAGACGAGTAGGAGATTTTATTTATCACACAATCCCTTCTTACATGCACAAATCGATAAATATAATTCTTTGCTGTAGATTTCACTTTTACTGAACATTACGGCGTAGTGATACATCATCACGGTCAACTGAAAAACAATAGTCCATTTTTAATAAAAAAAAAAAGTTACTTTTAATAAGAAATGAACTGTTCTTTGAAAATAAAAAAAGTAGTTCCTTTTCAACTGACCAATCAAATTCATGTAAAGGAGATATCGCAGTAGATTATGACATATATCACACAAGCGATATCTACTGTAGAATGTATTATTGCGTGACAAAACACGTTCTCTTTATTCTGTATATTATCCATTGTACCTGACATATACACCGAACTTAAAAAACAATTGTAGCACCGAATATTTCACAGTTGACATTAATCCTTTCTGGTGACATCGAAGTAAATCCCAGTCCATCTGATATATTATCTCTCGTGCATCTGAATGTAAGAAGAGAGATAGAGAGAAATGGGGTTTAACGTCCACTCGACACAAACTAGGTCATTTCGGGACTAACATATGGCTTAATTTTATTTACATAATTCGCTTGCGCGTAGGGGTCTTTAGCAGTGGGAGGAAATCGGAGGACCCACGAAGTTGGACAGGCGACCCTAATCCTTGTCACGTACAACCGGAGATTCGAAAGAACGTAAGAAGCCTTAGAAATAAAGTTGGCATCATTATAGTAGAACTCGCTAATATCGTTAGGATAGACATGGCTTGACGAAACGATAAATACTAATATGCTAACTTCCGTCATTTCACGACCCCATTAGAAAAAAAACAGACAGGAAAGACGGGGGGGGGGGTAGTATACATCCGAGGAAATGTATGTTTTAAACGAAGATTAGATCTAGAAATCGACAGTACAGCGTTCATATGGCTAGAAATCAATTCAAATAATAGCAAATACTTATAGGAACTTTTTACAGACCCCCTAACTCTACCACTGATGTTAATAATAAGATTACCGAATCAATTTCAAGATCAATATATACTCTTCAAAAAAAGTAGGGGATATTGAAACGCAAATACCTATGCAGGTTGCAATACGATAAATAGTCATGGACATTTGACATGCTTTGAGAGTATGTTCACAGATGAAGAACTTATTGCCCCAACAGAACCACTGAGCTGCACATGCGGCACGCAATAGCGCCATACACGTGGGAGGGGTTCATTGTAAAATTTGACACTTCAAGGAAGGGTTGATAAAATCTGCCACGTGCTGGTTTATTTATCCATGTTTTCTTTCCTATCGGTTCTTTCATAAGATTTACTGTTTAGCGTATCTCTGCTGAATGTCTGAGGATTGGTGGAGCAATTACTCATTATTAAGACAAAAATCAAAAACGTCCATTTTCACTTTTGACACTGTATCTCTTTGCGAGTGAAAAGAGGCCGTCAGATAAGCCGGCCACATGAACTGTTCATGTTCATGTGTAGGGAATTGGCCTGTTATTAAAATACACTGGTTACCCCTAATAAAAACAGCAGTTCATTTCCGCAGTTTTGTATTGTTTCTGAATATCCCCTACTTTTTTTGAAGAGTATATGATGATATAAATAAATGTTTTATCTTAGGTGATTTTAATATCGATATGAATGTTAAACACAGTACTTTTATACATAACGCCATTAATCTTTTTGACTTAAATCGCACCCTGCACGTTTCAAGTCAGTAGCTTGAAGCGTATATATGGTATTAGTGTCAGTGGCTTGTGGCACGAAGTAACAGTATATTGTCGCATACATAATATATTATGTCAACGCTTGGGCGACATAATATATTGTGTTGACGCTCCAAGCGTGTTAGCATATTAGACCTGTAGACTCAGTGGAATGTACGCGTCATCAGAGCGGATCCAGGGGTTGGACCATGGGGACCGGTCCACCCCCTTAACAATAGAAAGTGTCCCTGTAAATAAAAGAGGGCATCCTTATCAGAAAAAGGGCACCTGTGATGTCAGAATTTCAAAAAAGGGCACTTTTCTTTCGGATTTTCTTCATGAAAAAGGGCACCCTTAGTCGGAATTTTCATAAAAAAAGGGCACTTGTGATATTGGAATTTTCAGAAAAGGGGCACCTTTCTGTCAGCATTTTTAGAAAAAATGACGCAATACATAAACAAAAAGCACATTACATCAAAAATTTTAGAAAAAAGGTCATCCAAACAGGCAACTGGGTATTTTTTAGAGGAACAATGTCAGAATTTTCAGGAAAAAAAGCCACATAGGGCCCTATATATTGTTCTTCTTCTTGCATCAATTTTCCAAATCTTCTGTGGGTCGGAGCTTCGCAACATCGGTGCTCTCGAAGCCGACATTTACCAGTTATAATCACGTAAATTCAACGGTGCACTTTTTATTTTATAGAGTGCCCTTTTTTCGTTGGTCCTACCCAGTAGCGGATTATCATTGAGGCTGATGAGGCTGCAGCCTCAGACCCAAAGATTTTGTAAAAAATAAAAAATTTGGACTTGTCTGATTAAAAACGCATAGACAATGAATGTTAGGGGGCGGGGTTTAGGCCCAACGGGAATCAACATAGGCCCTGACCCGAAATTAATTAGACCCACGCCATTTTAAATAGGCCCAATAGGCCCTCCAGCAACTGCCGCCTCAGGCCTTGGTGGAGCTTAATCCGCTACTGGTCCTACCCCTTGATGAAATCCTTGATCCGCCCTTGCGTCACGTGATGCGCTGGTTTCTATCAGCAGGAACTTTCTCGACGTGAATCGCCATTGGCATTCCATTATTATTGTTAAACGTATATATAATATAGTGTTCTGATCGCTACTGCCTGGTGGAAGCCTATAGTCACCTCTTATCTTTTAACACAGTCATAAATTGTCAGTTAGGCCTAGCCTCAAATCATTTTGTAAGGTAAAATATCCCAGCCTGCAGATTGGAATTTTATCAGATGTCGGTCACCTTGTTCCAAAATGGCTACCCTTGTCCTTGTCCTTGAAATTTGGATCCGATATAAATATTGAAATTAATGGTTAAGAAGATGACGTAGTCTCTTGGTATTTGATGGGTTTCAGTTTGACTTACATGATCTGGTATTGTAGCAGCTAAAGAGTTTATTATATAGAAGCCTAAATGATAAAAAAATGGCATTATTATTAATTTAATACCGTAGCATTTTTGGGCTGATGGTATTATAGGCCTAGTAGTAATACTACTACAGTATCAGCAGGGGTGTCGTTAACGGTGGTGTCACTTTCCCTAATCCGAAAAGTTGGTACTGGTAAAAATCCTGAAAACAAAATCGCCAGCATGAATACACTGATCACTGACGGACTACATCAGTCAAATACCCCCAGGTCAAATATACCGCCCCCCCCCCCCATTCACATACCCCCAGGGTCATATACCTTCCGGTCATATGCTCTCCCAGTCATATACTCCTTGGTCAAATACCCCTGGTCAAATACCCCCAGGTCAAATACCTCCAGGTCAAATATACCCCCCCCCCCCCGTTCATAAAATACCTCCAGGTCAAATAAACACCCCCCCCCCCCTCGACTATTTACTCCCCGATCAAATACCCTGTCGACCAAGTCGTCCCGAAAATCCTGAAGTATTGGGGTAAGAGCACATGGTAGTGTATATGTGTTTTTGCGGATAAATACGCAACAACAAGGCAACCAATCAGTGTCTAGTATACCTAGCTGTTGTACTTGCACTATATAGTCCCCATTTATTCATTTGTGGGGGGGGGGGGGAGGCAGTAAATCAAAGTTTGTCGACACCTCTAATAAATTGAAGACTGGTTGACAGAAACAAACTGAATATTAGAGGCATCCCACAATGTATTGAGATATATTATCCAAATACTTATGTAAATTGGTTGAGTTTTTTGCTTTTTTTTATTATAAGCACATGCACAGTCAAGTGTTATGTAAATCTTCTCTTAACCCAAATTAAACAACTGAATGATTAAATGTTATTTTTTCAATTACTAGTAATTTTTAATCTAATGAAAGGTTACTAACCAGCAGTCTGGGAATAGTAGAATTCTTTTATGTTAAGTTGGCACATCTTTCGAAAGCGCATTATGCATTTGAAATTTATTTGTTATTTGCTCAAGACTTGAAAAGGGCTGTTGATTGAAAGACACGGAATATGGTTATAAACCAATACTGAAAGCAGACCAATATTTAGTCATTCATTTTATATAGGATGCCAATAACTAAAAGGAAAATACAGAGAAAAATTAAGATCTTTTCACCTAATGGAAACAGAACTGTGACAATACATTATAGAAGACCAGGAAGTGATCTACAACAAAATAGAGTATCTGCAAATATTCCAACCACATCTACAGACAACTTGCCTATTAATATTCCCAATGGTAATGTACTAGTACTAAATGTTTTAATATCTATCATATTTATTTCAGAAACACTTTAAATATAAACCAAAAGCAGTGGCTTTACTAGTATTTTTTTACCATAATGAAAATCATCTTTGATTTCCAATTTAGCTAGTGGATTTCCAAACTTATATCAGATTTAAGCATGTTTGTTTAGTAGGCCTATTTATGTGCATACATAGATCAAACAATGACAAAGAATTAAGATCATTCACGGACATCTGTCGGTTTCGCAGACCCTAGGAACTGCCAAGGACACCTAGTCATTCGGATGGAACGCAAAAATAAAACTATGTCCCGTATACATCAGTGCGCACATTCTACTGGCAAAATTTCCCTTCTTGCACCCTGTCTGGCATATGCCTGTCTTCATTAGCCAATACAAAAAGTGCATTAAAGTAGGATGTAGAACCCCATTGTCGAACCCCCATCATAATAGAATATCATTATAGCATAATCGACATAATTGATAAATTATCACCCCTTCAGAGTCGGACTTGAAGTAGTGGAAGTGTTTTAGGGGATGTGCCATCAACAACGGTCTAGAGGCGCTAATATGAAGTATTTATAAAATGTATCTTTTAAAGTGCTCAAAAGCGCTTCAGGGGCTGCATGTGCCTTGGCACATAGGCCAGTCCGACCCTGAGCCCCTTGTATTCCCAACTCTCCAATATATCATTGTATTTTTTTCAATCTTTTATATTACATGTATTGATAATTGCAGAGTTTAACACAGAGGAAACACCATCCACCTCTACATCCTCAAGTAACAATTATCAAAAGAAAAAACAGCAGACTTTTGATAATTGGTCAAAGATTAAAGATCCTTTAATCGACATTCATATTGAGGAGTTAAGTCCTCCAACATTCGAATGTCAGTTCTGTTTGCGTCATGATGAGAACATCATCTTTTGCTTTGATTGTGGACCCTTGGCATTCTATTGTTCAGATTGTTGCATCAAGGTCCACAAGACAGTTTGTTTGCATTCTCCACAACAATGGCAGGTAAAACTACTATTATAAAATATTTTTTAAACATTATTTTTATCAGTTATTATTATTTAGTTCAATCTCAGTGGTAAAAATGTTTTATAGTTCTACAATTAATAAGACTGTGTATGATTTTAAATTTACAAACATCAGATTATATTTAAACAGTGTAAACAAATTTAAATATAGAATGACGACATTCCAACTGTCTGTGATGATTTTAATATCATATTTTGGACAATAAGTGGTTTTAAGTGCTCAAAATGGCCCTGATTGCCACCGAAGATCATCTACGACCCTGAACCTAAGTGGCCTCCAGACCCCCGACCTAAACAATTTGCGCCTTGAGCCAAACTCAAACCCTAGATCAACCCCTCTCATTTGTTTCAAATTGCATTATTTATATTTAAAATAAGGATGTCAGTTCTGCTCGGGCCATTTTGATCATTTTCTGTGTATCTTTCAGGGTGAAATATATGTCCCGTTCAATTTACCAGCTTGTATATACAAACGATTGGATAAACATGAATGTGAATCACAGTATATCTCACCTATATATGTTGTAGATGTGAAGGGTATTTTTCATTTTGAATTATCACAGTTTGTTATTTTAATTAGTTCAATAACATGTTTTACAAGTTAGCAGCATAGAACAAGTGGAAAACGGTTCCCTTTAAAATCAACTCGTTTAAATGAGAATTTAAATAGAATTTCTCAGCTCTCTGTATAACAACAGATAGTATTCAAACATTTCCTGTCTTTCAGTGTACATTAAGATCACAGACTTGATAACCAGGACAAAATGAAATCTGTCTGAGTTCCGTTTTGCAGAAATATGCATGATTTAGTAAGTGAGCTGAAGCTAGTGGGCAAGAATAGGATATATGAATTCAATGTGAACTAGAATCTAATGTCTTTTCTAATCATAAATATAAAGTGGAATAATATTCAAATTGTTTATTCAGGATCACAGCATCAATGTTCAATAACCTTATGTCATTGTGAAGAACCACCCATTACTTTAATGAGGTATCGTTTGTGGGCTGCTTCTCCACAAAAGCCCAGAATCGCTTTTGACATAAGATTTATGGAGCTGCTACGAGTTCTGCAGTTAGAAGCCCATCTACCCGCAAAGGGCTTTTGTGATGCATTGGATCATCTGGACAATGATTTTATTCATAACTCAGAACATTTTGTAAGTATAGGTTAAATTCTTATAAAGATTATTATCAGCTTATATAGTTTATATGAGTTGGCTCAGTGAGTATGGTGCTCGCTAGCTTGGTTATTGGTTTGATCATCCAGATTTTCCTTTCCAGCTTTCCCTTGTCAGTGGCTAAGACCCGAGGGATTGACAAGCACCTAACCGTTTCGATGGGACGAAAAAGTGAGGTCTCATGTGCATCAGGACGCCTGTTAAAGAACCCAGACATTTGGAAATTGAAGAAGATTAGGTGAATAATCGCTGACTGTCCTGGCAAACATTTTCTCATTGCACCCTGCATGGCATATACCCATCTTCATTAGCCAATACAAAAAAGGGCGCAAAAGTAGGACGTTAAACCCCATTTCATTTATATAGTTTATACATTTACATTTGCATTCCAGCCAAAAGATATCTACAGAGCTGTTATTGGTGATTGCCTAAGGGAATACCTTTATCATAGTTCTTTGCTTAAAACCAGATATACTTATCTTGAATCAACTATTGGTCGTGAATGTCCAATTTGCAGGCGGGTAAGTCACTGTCATTTGTGTGTGTGGAGGGGAGGGGTTTGTGTTTCCATGTACATATCAAGATTACTAATGTATTGAGAGTCTGTGACACTAAATTGTGTACTGATGACTGTTTTAACACATATAACAAAAGATTACAATTAGTGTCCAGTTACCACGCCAAATGTACAAAACATTCTGCATCTTTTAGTCAGTTCAATGTAAATATTATTTATAACAATCTCCTAGGCGTGAAAAAATACTTTAATATATTAATATGATCTTGAATCATTGTTAAAACCATCTTGTGGTGGCATACTATGGTTAACCTAAGAATGAAGTAATGCGACTGTACAATTGTGTCTACATTTTCACTTTGTCTAGGAACCTTCATTGATATCTTTCGATGCAAATTTTGGACTGGTCCATAAGGAATCATCAGGAGATGGTCATGGTAAGACCGCGGCAAGACATAATGACTTCCTCTTTGTGGATCCTTCCAAGTTTAAGAACTTCATCGAGGATTACAATGTGGATAAAGGTTCCTATGTTAATGTAAGTAACATTTTTTCAGAACAGTTATTATGTAAAGCACAGGAAAACTTGAGCACAGGAAACCAACATTTCAAAAAATCTGAAAAAAAAAATATACATTTATGCTAGTCAGCTTTGCATTTTACATTATTACAGTTAGTAAAGGGTTAGTTATAAAACCCGGAACGAAACGAAATGGTCGAAATCATCGAAATGGGCAATATGTATCTTTTTAGCAGTCCTCTAGTATATACTTGGCTGCCGACATGTGTCAAACACGAAGGGGTTCCCTGTGGCAAACATATTCGTGTCTTGGTTATATTTAAAAAAGATTGCGAACGGCATGAGCCGTGAGCGGAGGATCGGTGTGACATGGCCAACCGTTAGTAAAGTCATTGAGGTTAATTTTGCGAAGAAATGGTATTTTTAAACATTTGACTGCAAAAGAATATCCAAGATGTATAGAGATCATTTATTGTTTTTATTCAATCTTTTATTTTTTTATTCAGGATTGCTCCAATTTCCAAGCTGGAAGCCTCGTAAGATCCAAGTCAAAAAACGCCAAATTGGATGTGAAGGGGCTATTTGGCTCCATATGTAAACACGATATACCTTATTTATTCATTGATATGGAGTATGGTGAAAGGTAAGTTATGAAAGTACAATTTACTAACACAGTGGCCATATCTGGCTTTTTAATGACACTCGTAAGATTTTTATAGATTGATTGAACTGCTCAAATTTCCACCCATTTGTTTTTCATCGTTTTGTTTGCATTTAATGTTTCTTTCTTAGTTAGTTACGATAAACTATCTAACAATCTCTGTTGCTTTGGAAGTATTAAGGCTTGTGTCTTTTGGAATGTAATTTTGATATATAATTACACTCGAAGATATTATTATTATTGCAGACTTGGGTATGCTGTTTTTATAATGGATAAACTCTTGGAAGAAAATGAAAGCAAAACAGTTCTCATGTATGACATTGCTTGCATGTTACATAAACATCTCATGGTGAGTACCCAGGACATGTAGATTATAGTTATAAAAGCTAATTTGGGGTATGATTATGTTGGCCCTTGGACAAATGGAGGGTGGGGACTATACACAATACTCCAATACATTTAGTAAAAGAGAAGAGGATAACTTTCAATGATGCTGCATGGTATAGTTTCTCTTTACAGAGATAGAAGATGTGGGCTAATCGCTAAGTTTCTATCTTAAAAAAGTAGGTTAAGGAACTTTCCTGCAAAAGTGGGTTGAGGGGCATGTTCCCCTGTCTTCAACATTGCTTGAATATCTTTTTACATATAAATGAATATTTGTTGCAGAAAAATAAAAGAAATGACCTCCTCGATAAATTTTCATTCGCTGTTCCTGTGTTCCACAGTTTTGCACATAACATGCAATGCCAAGTAAGTTACAACTACAGTCAAACCTCATTGTGTCGATCTCTGTTAATTCGAAAACCTGGTATGAATCGAACACAGTTGAGAGTCCCATCACGATCCTTCTTTATTTCAACTAAAAATCTACTTTTGTCTCGAAATTCTTAATTCGAGTACCGGTCCTGTCTCGATGTCATTGTTCACCCCCAAGATAATAGAATTTACATTTTATGTGTCGCTGTCCTCACCTCGCAGTTAGATCTAAGACTGTAATAATTATTGAAGCAATACACTCCTGTTAGAAATACGGTACTCCTACTCCAATTAATCAATTATAATCCCAAAACAATACGAAACCAACAAGGCGTGAATAATACAACGAGAATAAACATGGTGGCTAGAGCATGTAATCAGATGGGGAAGTTCACAGGGTAACATTGAACTCTATTGTGTTATCTAGCCAATTGTGATCGTACCAAGATGGGGGTCGATTTGATGTACGGGATAATTTGAGGTTTATATCTCGTCCTGCAAACTTCGACACAATGAGGTTTGACTATATATACAGATAGCATTTGTTGGTTTTATTGGGTGTTTATGTATGGTTTATTAAAAGACACCCGCCACCATTTTCAAGGTCTTCTTTTGATTAATTCTGATGAACTTTCAGAAATTGGAATTGTTTAGCTTAGTTAGTTGGTATCAGGGCACACAGCTTACCATCAAAATTTGGGCCTGCTTATTCAAGTGAATCCTTAGTTATCCTCAAATATAAGTTCGAATATCAAGTCACTATTTACCAAGTATTTGCCATGTTTAGTCTTAATGATCAAATCTTATTCTTCGTATCCTTACTATATGAACATAATATAACTATATGAACTAAATGTGTTTTTAATTCTACTTAGTTTGGTATTTTTTTAGTTAAAATATGGACAGAAATTTATGGATGATTGTGGGCTCACTGATGGTGAAGGCATAGAACGCCTCTGGAGTTACCTACGCAGGTTCAAGTCAATAACAAAAGAGATGTCATACGACAACCGTGTTGACTTGTTAACAGAGGCGTTAATCCATAATTCCGAAAAAATTATTTCAAACATGGGTAGGTGTTAAAGAGAATAGTATAATAGTATAAAATCTAAATATATAATTCATTTTTTCCGTCATATAGACAAATTGTGTAATATGTTCAATATCTTCAAACATAGATGAAAATGCTGGAATAAATCATAATTTCCAATCATTTGGAATAGACAGAAAAAATGACGAATTTCATAGTTTTATTCTATGCTAGTATAAATATTAGCAATGATAATCGAAATAGAGAACAAATATTTGTCAACAAGAAACCAATGTATAACATGATTACCCATAAATTACTGCTTTTTTGACATAATAATTAATGATCAGTACATATTTCAATAAATGAAATTAATCTCCTCGTGAAGTCTTTGAATTGAGCACCTCGATTTTACTACACTACACCTAAATTAGTCAACTGATCGTCGGCTCTGGAATTTCTGGTATCTCTGAGAGGAAAACAGTGTAAAGAAGCTCTGAATCTGGAGATTATTGAGACGCTAAAATGTAACATTACTTCATTGTAGTTCTTATAGTTATTGTAATTATTTGTATATTTCAGGTCCAAGATTGCATTCCAAATTATGTAAAGCAGAAAAGATTATTAAAGATTCTCCTTTTAAAAATCAAGGTAATGATTTACCCTCTTATACGCATACATTTGAGAAATATTGTAGAATATTCCAATTTAAATACATTCATACATAACCGTAACCTTTGCTGATCTGAAAATGTTTGAAACTCATGGTTTTTTATTGAATTAATAAGGGTTGTTATTGTTAATGCCAATTAACCTACATGTATGATCTAAATTCTGTTACAACACCCCCTTACTGCAAGAGCTCACTTGTAAGAGGCATCCGTAGTACAAAACTTACTACTCCGATGTATGTAATATGCTGTTTATTACAGTCTTTGGATTATTGCCATTCTGACGATAGGCCTTAGAACAAATATGTGTTGATAATGACTCAACTTTGGACTAACGAATGTTCGGACTTAAGATTTTTCGAAAAAGCGCACCTCCGAACAAAAGAACCTTTAGCTTAGTAATCAAAAGAGCCGTTAGATTTTAGGATGAAGTGGCTCTCGAAATGTTGATTGGTGAACTATAGGGCATAAGGCACATAGAATTATCGATCTGACCCTGTTCATTCCTATAACAACTTTGAGAGCTCAATGAAAACAACATAATTTTAACCTTTTTAGAAGAACTATCTCAAGCTGGAACATGGTTGCAGAATTGGAAAAAAGATACAGAATCGAAAAATACTAAAGGTGAGTTTCACTGAATTCATATTCAATGTTATTGTTTTTCTGGATTCCTTGTAATTGGCAAATTTATGTTGTTGCATAAACTAAGTCAATGCATAAATATTGACTTGAGAAGCAGACTTCAGGTATGAAGAAGTGCATTATCAGCAAAGTCATAAGTTGAAATAGTCATATTGGAACTATAATTCAACATTGAAAATATGGGAGAAATATCCTAGGAATGTTTAATGTCTAGATTGCAAAACGTCACGATTTCGGGTCACCAAAGGTCAAGATACCCAAAGTTCGAAACAAATGTCCAAAGGACACATAAGGTAATTTTAGGAGTCAATAAAGAAGGCTTGAGGGGGCTATTATTTTATTTTTCCCTAGGAAACATTCTTGGAATCGCCGATCATGGAACCTGATTATGCCTACTCAGTAGGTCTAGTTGTTGTTATTATTATAAATATATACAATAGTAGGAACACTTGTACTAAAAGCCTTAAGTTCAATTTCATGTTATTTTTATTTTTTTTTTGCATACTAGTATAGTTTAATTTGTGGTTCAGTTCAACAAATTACTTTGTTTTAGGAAACGAATTAAATTCTACAGAAAAGTTTGTTGAATGTGTTCACAAAATAAAGACTATAAGGTAAAAACTGTTTTTAAAATGTTTTTATTTTTTAATGAAATTATTTTCTGTTTCATTCGTAGCAATGTACAATTCTGTCTATGTTAGCTGAAGTTATTGGACTTTAGATTACAGCATAATTCTTTTTTCTTGTGTTTTCAGCACAAGTGTTGGAGTAATGCATTATGATGCCAACAAAGAAGCTTTAATAACAAGGTAGGCACAGTTTTGTTTTTGTTTTTTTCTTATATTCTTTGTCTCCATTGTAATCTAACAATTTAACTACAAAAGCTGTGTTCTCGTGGTACTAACGTGTTATTTATAGCAGCCAATCATGTGCCATCTTCCCACCAAACTGAAGCAATTTTGTAAGCAGGGTTTGACAACTGTATCAAAATATATTTTGCTCTACGTTTGATTTCACTATCCCACAATCGTCATTGTTAGCTGGAAAGTGACCTACATTCCTCACTCAACTGTTCTTGCATAATTTTTGTTTTGAAAGTTTTAAAAAGCTCAGGAATTCCCTGAAAATGATAAAGTCTTCGAAAATCTCATTTTTTCAAGATTGTGATTTTCTGGGGAAAAGAGCTCATCAACAATAAAATCCAATAAAAAAAAGGGAGACCTGGGGATCCTTTGGATTTCTTGACGCTTTTAGTTAATTTTCCAATAAAATAAGTACTTCAGGACCTTATTTCTATCACTATATTTAATTACTCTAAATAGGCAAATGTTTAATATTATTAATTTTTATTTCAGTTTGAGAACTGAAATGTCAAAGTTGAAAAATGTTGATAAGCACATCAAAGAGCAAGGAGAGGATCTGAGTTTTGAAACTGAAGCTATTAAGCAAAAATTACTAAATGCCCAAAATAAAAGACAATGTGAAATATTACTCAAGCTTAGGAATTTAGCTATTGAAAGAGAATATATTGGCAGCATGATGAAAAAATATGCAGGTAAATGTATTTGTGAACCTCAGTATTTTGATGCATAGGACACTCTTATAAAATGTTAATTGAAATCCTGACGCATAATAAATATATCAGAAATTTACTGTTAATATAGCCAAAAATCAATTCCACAGTCAAAGGACAAGACAAATTTGGTAAATCTGTGTGTGTGTGACTTTCAAATAAGGCGAAGTAGGATCAGGTATATCAGAAGAGGTTAAGCATCCCCTGCCTTGCACACGACACCACACACTAACTTCAGGGCTTTAGATTACATTCTAGTTTCGACGTTAAACGTCATGTTCAAAATTTTATTTTTTTTAAATTCTAAATTGTTCTCAAATTTTGAAGAAAACAGTGGGAATTGGAAGCTTTGCCCCGAAATGAAGCAGACATTGTTATTTCTACACTATATTACCCAGTTTCATGAACCTATAGCCATTTTTATTGAGGGTAATGAGCATTTAGTTTTGATGCCTCACTTCGAATACAGGGTGTGCCCAAATTATGGTAATCTAAAGCCCTGAACTTACAGGATAGAATAGATCTGTTACAACAATTTGAACACCTCTACCAAGATGTCAATGAGATTTGTGATAACTATCAACAAGATCATGATGACGATCATACAACTTCCTAACTGTAGTTTTCAGTTTGTGAACAAAACATATCTCTGATTCAAAATTTGTATACAAAAGTTCTTCATAGTGTGATCATGCTCTTGAGTAGCGGGTAAGCTAGAAGGTGACTTTGTTACACTGAATGGAAAGTTCAGAAAGAAAAAGTCAAAATCATCACATTTGTCATATAGGCGTACACATAGGTCACAGGTATTCTCTACTTCAAGTTGCTAATCCAAATATGATAACTTACTGACTATTTATATGTTAATCAATTATCTACATTATTAACTATATATTTTTCAGATGGACAAACACTTGCGTTACGTATTGGTAAGCAATTTTCATCGAACACTTCAAAAATGAAAAATCTTTTAGACATTCTTAATAAGAACCACAATGTTGGTACAGACACAGATTTCAGCATGGTGTCTTCTCCAACTTCGGAAATATACAAGAAATTACATGAAAACCCATTGGATGAAAAGAAACAGCAAGCTGCTCTATCATATTCTTCGTTCAAACATGCTGAAGAGGAAAGTGAGCTGATTAAAGCTGAACTTCAGGCATTTTATACTTATCTCAATGAACAATTGAAGCAAATTGATCAAAGCTCTCAAGTTTCAAAAGATTTATCCAATATGTCAAGATATCACAAAGGGATGCTCCAATATTTGGTCCGGATTCGAATCAAAATAAACAAAATATTAAAAAAATCAAAGCCAAGTTTTGACTATCTTGGCATAACTGAAGGAATTTCTGAAAATGTAACTCCTGAAGAGGAAATAATCCAGGATATCCAGGAAGATTATTTCGAAGATGACATTTCTAGCGAGGATGAGGATGAAATAAATGTTGATGATGAAATATAATTGTGAATATAATGTGTAGTGTATATAGTGTACATTATATTGACTTTCTATATAGTGTATAGTGATATTTTATATAATGTAGAGTGTACAGTGATAGTGTATAGCGATATTTGACAGTGTACAGTGACAGTGTATATAGTGATATTTTATATATTGTACAGAAACTTTGTATATAGTAGACTTAATGGAAACTACAGAAACCTTTAATGCAGCCTTGTAATATAATTTTGAATATAATGTGTAGTGTATAGCGTACAGTATATTGACTCTCTATATAGTGTATTGTGATATTTTATATAATGTAGAGTGTACGGTGATACTGTATATAGTGATATTTTATATAGTGTACAGTCATAGTGCATAATGGTTTTTTATAGTGTATAGTGACAGTGTATATAGTGTATAGCGATATTTGACAGTGTATAGTGTACAGTGACAGTGTATACAGTACAAAAACTTTGTATATAGTGGACTTCTTAATGGAAACTGTACAAAAACCTTTAATGCAGCCTTGTATATATACAAGAAGGTCCCAAGCCCTTTCAAATGCAGAGGGAAGGGGTTTTTTCACTTATAAAATGAACTAAAAAGACAAGTTTTCCAACTAAAAACAGGATGAAACTGGTGATCTTCCATTTATGGAGGTGGTGAGTTCAATTCTCACATTTGTCTATATGTTGGAAACATGGAAAACAGGTAATTTCCCAATTCAGATCCCCTACATTTCATTTTGGTACATTTTGAACATTCCCTGACACTCTCCACCAAATCATGACATAAATCGTGGAAAAAGGAAGTGGATGAGGAAACAGAATCGGGGCAGGAGCCAGTTTCAACTGTGGTGGTAATAGGCACTGGGAGACGTGGAGGGGCATCCATGGATTTAATAATTCAATGCAATTACCGTTTATTAATTTGGTGGTCAGCGCAAGTTGGAGGGCGTCTTGAAAATGGGGTCACCCCCAATAATATGACCTTGGTAATGTAATGTGTAGTAATACATACATGTAATTAATAATTTATATCACAGCATCGTCACTTTATGATGAACATATTGTACTTAGTCACTTTACATAATGTAATGTATATTGATACTTGATGTATATTGATGACATGAAATAAAGAAAACTTAAATCTCCTGACTTGATGCCTTTGTCTCTGATTTTAGAAGGTTTGAGAGCTTAGACCTAAATGAAAATGAAATCATAAAGAAAGCTTATATAAAGTATGAAAATATGAAAAAGTAGTATTTATTGTCTTTCTTAAAACATTATTTCAATGCAACTTCATCAACTGTATATACCATGAGAGATAGTTATTATAAATGTTAAAAACATTTATTATATGGCTGGTAATTTCCTCGTTTCTGATTGGCTCAAACTGCCCTGAGAAGTTTCGATTAATCACGGTATTAACCTCCCAAGTTCTATAAATAGCACAAGCAAGATGTGATATGGCCAAAGAACTATGGGGAGAACCCAACTGTGACGTCATATATCCAAGAATTTTCCCATAATGAATTTAGAGGTTAATATCATGATAACGCGAAAACAGAACAGTCTCTAGCATATTAACAAATAGCAAAACAAATGACATGAAACTATGTTTGTAAATCACAGAAATAATATCATATAATAAAACAATTTAAACTTTGAATAAAATTTAAACTTTGAATAAAATTTAAAACTTGAATAAAATTTGAATTAAATTAAAAATTTGAATAAATTTAAAATTTGAATAAAATTTAAAATTTGAATAAAATTTAAAATTTGAATAAAATTTAAAATTTGAAGTAAATTTAAAATTTGAAGGAAATTTAAAATTTGAAGGAAATTTAAAATTTTAATAATTAATTCATAGAAATGCCTCTTTTTAATACCATATTATAAAACAATAATTTATAGAGGCATCCTCAAAGTAAGGTGATCGTCACCGGGGAGTCTGGATGGGGGCTGGACCAAGTTAGTCGGTCCTTTTCAGAGGCTGGTGACTGGTGAGGCTGCAACCTCCATTCGGCACGCCGATTTTTCTTTAAATTACACAAAGTACCATAAAATTGAGGGTGGGTGTCGTGGAGAGGGTATCTTAGCGGCTCAGACTGGCACATATTAGGCACTTCCCTGTAATTTCGCCCTTTCAGCTCATAATCCGCCTCTGATCCTTTTTGCGAACAGAAAAATGAAGAAAGAACTGGACTGGTATGTCCAATTCCGCATAAAAATTTCAAAGATAGGTAGTGGAGCACGAAGAGTCGGTAATATACGCACAAAAATATTGTTAGTGATGTACAGAAAATTTGGCACCCCTCCCCCTAATAGGAGCATCGTGACGGCATTGTCTTAAGTAATTTCAATATTTTATTATTTCCTTTTGAAATGTGTACTTTCTTTGCATAACACATTTGTAAGCATTTTCCATATCCTGAACAGTGGATCGTCTGTAAACTCAGGATTGATGTTAGGAATAACCAGTATTCCTAGTTAACAAACACGGAGGAACGAAGTAGTAGGGCACTACAGGCCTCTAAATAAGACAAGCTGGGGTGATCATTACCAATTAAATGATTCCCTGAATTTCTGTTCAGGTGATCAAAATTTGCGGAGTTATTTCAAGCTTAAAGTTTTCTTGCATGTGTGAATCAGAAAAAGATGACAACCTTAGGCCACTGTTGTTGCTCATGATCATATTTTCTGAAACAATCATGTTAAAATGCTCCTTCTGTTGAAGCCGCCGACAGACTTTACAATTGTGTTTCATTACTTTTTTTTCGATCACCTGGCCTCAGTGGGGTGATCGAAAAAATCGTTCTTCTGAAATCTCCTTCAGGTGATCGACAGGCGATCAATCAGTTTGATCGCCCCATATTTCGTGGCCTGCACTATAGACATGGATACATCCAATACTCAATAACAGCTTCAATATTTAGAGAATCATTGTTTGGGTATTGGATTACTCTTACAGCCAAAAAAGTCACACAATTGTATTATTGATAAAACATAAAAACATATATATATTTTTTTATACTTATTTTCTCAGCATTATATACAAAATTTACAAACAAATATATAGAATTCAAAGCACAGTCGCCTTAGAGGCGGTGTCAAAATATTCAGCATTTTACAAAACAGAGCTTGCTTCGTTTCACCCTGGACCCCCTTCTTGAAACGAAGCAATAAATTTGAATAAATGCTGATCGACTACATCAACTCATGTGACTGAAAATCAGCATTTGTTCCAAACGAAGCAGGCATGATCGCATTGACCCCCTCTGAACGAAGCAAGATTTGTTTCATAAAATGTTGAATATTTCGACACGGCCCCTTATCTAGAATTCACTAACTTTTGAACGTCCATGATTTAAGGTGTTTTTATACAACCTTACAAATGAATCCATTAGTCACTTATATTGTAACGTAAGAGTTATATTGACTTCTAAAGAGGTTGATATCAAAGTTAGTCAACCTGGGAAGTTTCGTAGATCACACAGGCTGAGTGGATTAACTCTGGTATAAACTGTTCATGTCTAAAATTGATATATTATATGAATGTAATTTGCAAACAAAGAAAATTTCAACTGCTTATAAAATAATATTGATTCTATCATTCAGGCTTTGCTAACAATAAATTGAACTTATTGATATAATAACATAAAAACATATATATATTTTGTTATACTTATTTTCTCAGCATTATATACAAAATTTACAAACAAATACATAAAACTAACCACACTAAAACTGGTATTTTATGTGAAACCTTACTTCTGTTAACTTTTGAAATGGACACAAATAATAATTTATACAATATAATGTATAATGTCTATCTATTTATGAACCTATAGCAGAAATTTCCATTCATCCAAAACATTAAGCAAATTATAGCAAAAAGTCAGATGCAGCAAAGATGTAAAGTTTTTACACATTATAAAACATGTCCCTATTATGTTGTCCATGACGTCTTTCGATGGGAAGGGTGAGTTATTATGACCTTGTGAAAACCTAATCCATGGAATACTTCTCTCTTATTTTAACTGAGTAACAAATCCAAAGCACAGTCGCCTTAGGGGCGGTGTCAAAATATTCAGCATTTTACAAAACAGAGCTTGCTTCGTTTCACCCTGGACCCCCTTCTTGAAACGAAGCAATAAATTTGAATAAATGCTGATCGACTACATCAACTCATGTGACTGAAAATCAGCATTTGTTCCAAACGAAGCAGTCATGATCGCATTGACCCCCTCTGAACGAAGCAAGATTTGTTTCATAAAATGTTGAATATTTCAACACAGCCACATATCCAGAATTCACTCACTTTTGCACGTCCATGATATAAGGTGTTTTTATACAACCTAACAAATGAATCCATTAGTCACTTATATTGTAACGTAAGAGTTATATTGACTTCTAAAGAGGTTGATATCAAAGTTAGTCAACCTGGGAAGTTTCGTAGATCACACAGGCTGAGTGGATTAACTCTGGTATAAACTGTTCATGTCTAAAATTGATATATTATATGAATGTAATTTTCAAACATAAAGAAAATTTAAACTGCTTATAAAACAATATTGATTCCATAATTCAGACTTTGCTAACAATAAGTTGAACTTATTAATAAAACATAAAAACATATATATATATTTTTTTATACTGATTTTCTCAGCATTTTATACAAAATTTACAAACAAATATATAGAATTAACCACAAAACTGGTATTTCATGTGAAACCTTACTTGTGTTAACTTTTGAAATGGATACAAATAATAATTTATACAATATAATGTATAATGTCGTAGATCACACAGGCTGAGTGGATTAACTCTGGTGTAAACTGTTCATATGTCTAAAATTGATATATTGTTCTGCATATTTAGTCACTTATTTACTTGTTTTGTTTTTTTTAATTTTCAATGATTTTTTTAAGGTTTCATTCAAATGTTCCTCATCTTCCCAAGAATCGGCAGAAGATGGATAACCCTTCCAGTGTAGGAGGTACTGAACCTTTCGATTTTTTTTTCTTTTTTTAACTATACACTCTACTTCATATTCTGAAAATAGAATCAAATGTTTAGTACAAGTCTGCAGCTAATAATACAGTTACTGTTAATGATATTGCTATTGCCACTTTCGTTATGCCAAAAACAGTGCATTGTTTAAGTCACATAACAGGAAATGAAATGGGTTTAACGTCCTACTTTTATGCACTTTTTGTTTCGGCTAGTGAAGAAGCTAGTGAAATGAGGGAAATGTTGCAACTGTCTGGGTTCTTTAGCATGCGCCCTGATGCAGCACCGATGACATGACTAGGTGATATGCGCCACTGACAAAGGGAAGCCAGATTGGGAAACCCGCTGATCTTTCCCTGTCTGGGGATCAAACCCACAACCTCCTGGATAGCGAGCAAGCACCATACTCACCGGTTTGAATTGGGGTTTCTTCAAAATATACATTTTAAAAATGGGTATACAATGATTTACATCAATCAGTAGGAGTAATTCACTATTCTTATTAAACATAATTTTTTTATGCATCACACCTATACAAAAGGTCTCTGAATATAAACTCAAAAGAACATATTAGATATCTATTTTTTCATTATTGCACTAATGTGCCTGTCATCATGCTGATGTTTGTCTGCTAAAAAGCTGAAGTGGATCATAATAACTGGACTTGAAATAAACTACACTTTAGTTTACTCATTTGGATTGAATGAAGTCCAAAAGAGTAATTAATAATAAATGAACTTGCCTATATTACTCTGATCTGCAGTAAGCATCTGTGTGGTTATGTGTGGTGCTGTTGTTAATGGATGTGTTGTTATGTGTGGTGCTATTGTTAATGGATGTGTTGTTATGGGTCGTGCTATTGTTAATGGATGTGTTGTTATGTGTGGTGCTGTTGTTAATGGATGTGTTTTTATGTGTGGTGCTGTTGTTAATGGATGTGTTGTTATGTGTGGTTCTATTGTTAATGGATGTGTTGTTATGTGTGGTGCTGTTGTTAATGGATGTGTTGTTATGTGTGGTGCTGTTGTTAATGGATGTTTTGTTATGTGTGGTGCTGTTGTTAATGGATGTGTTGTTATGTGTGGTGCTGTTGTTAATGGATGTGTTGTTATGTGTGGTGCTGTTGTTAATGGATGTGTTGTTATGTGTGGTGCTGTTGTTAATGGATGTGTTGTTATGTGTGGTGCTGTTGTTAATGGATGTGTTGTTATGTGTGGTGCTGTTGTTAATGGATGTGTTGTTATGTGTGGTGCTGTTGTTAATGGATGTGTTGTTATGTGTGGTGCTGTTGTTAATGGATGTGTTGTTAGGTATGGTGCTGTTGTTAGGTTTGGTGCTGTTGTTATGTGTGGTGCTGTTGTTAGGGGTGGTGCTGTTGTTCGTGATGGTTCAGTTTCCTTCACAGATCTGTATACAAAAAATAGGTTATTCGGTTAGATTAATAATGAATAAATTAATAAATTTAAGATGGTTGCTTGAATCCGTCAGTGAATTTAGCACCTGCTTATTTTTTAAGGAAAAAAATCCAACTTATTCTTCTTTACTTCATTTGATCTCCAATTGACTGCACTAAAACCATCTATTGCTATCTATACGGTTTTTTGTGCCATCCGAACGACTAAGGTGGTATTCTTTGCCAGCCCCTCGGTTCTGCGCCACCGACAAGGAGAAGCCAGATTGGAACATCCGGATGATCTTTCCTTGACCGAGGATCAAACTCACGACCTCCTGGTTAGCGAGCAAGCCACCGCGGCTCCTGGATAGATGATATGGGATCTAAAAACACGAAGATAGCTTCTCTTTAAATTCAAAGACTTACATTTCTTGAACAGATAAAATTAAATTTAATTTCTTCCTGCCATATCTAGATGGTACTTGAATCGGCTTTACTTCCTGTGGGAAACCATCTACAACTATTTCTCCCCGTTTGACTCTCTCATATGGAAATCTTTGATAAGATGTTGTAGCTTTTCCTGAATGATAAAAATTAAAACTTATATCATACCCTGTGATCTGTACTGTTTGAGAAAATAATTGCCAAACTCGGTTTCGTCGCTATCCTAGAAATAACGTTATTAGTATGGTCAATGAGCGAGTAGTTATGTTGCTGGCTGTCAATGTAACAATATCATCTGTCGACCATCACTCCCCTAGTGTGTGATGGCGTGTGTTGGGGTGGGATGGGGAACTCCCACAATAAATTCACATGCATCAAATATAGCCTTCAAAATAGATCCTATGCAACAAGGTCTATACAGGTGCGAAATGTGTGGGGTGACTTGACTCCGATTATCCGTATCATTAATGACGGAAAAAAACGAATAGTTGCGATTGGTCATTTGCAACATAATGTGTTTTTTTAGTGGAGCGGATCGATCGTGTTGTCATTTGACTTACTCTGAGGTTTAGTTCAGTCTTTTCTCACAGATCTCACTATATCTTGGAAATTGAAAACATTTGAATTGCAACAACTACTAAGAACAACTTACCATATAGAGCATTCATATGATCTTGTACCTGTTTTCTAAGCTGTTTTGTACATGATTCTGTAATAAATAGAACAATACGGAAGTCATTAATATAAATTATAGAAAATCTTCGTTACAAATTCACCTTGAGAACATTAAATAAAACGATTGGACCGCTCAATACATAGAATTTCAAAACGAGTGAAATACACAGAACTCTGGATATAAGTATTGATGAGGTCCAAATTCTAATTTGTTAACAAAGGGCAATATCGAGATTTGATGGACATAATGCCACATATAAGATTTGAACGACATTTAGAAGCAATAAGCACATTGTGTTTGTTATAATGTCACATACTAAATTTAATATGAATACATAAAAATAAAATCAATCATTTTCAATCATTATGCAAAACCCAAAGTATAACACTGTGCGAGTCTGGTGGTGGTTGGTATAGAAGAGCCTTGAAGTTACCACCTACGCTAACTAGGGGTGCTTTGATTGTTGTGAGGTGCACCCTCTTCATTAGCCCATAAGATATTTAAATGTTGGTTGTTAAGCCCCATTTTATTATTTTGTGCATAAAATTAGCAATATCTGAAAATATTGATGAGCAGTTTCGCATGTTTGTGCTATGAACTCTACTATGCTATATTTTCCTAACCTTAATTACATAAGATCCATTACTAGGCCTCTTGTCTAAAATAAGCTTACCTTCAGCATCCTTTCCCGGTTTTAAAAGTAGCGAGTTGACAAATTCATCCTCTCTATTTTCCAAATATTTCAGAAATTTGCTACTGTTAGAGCCAGCAAAAATGATGTTTCCTTCCCTTTCTCCAGCAGCAGCAATGTCAACATCACAATCGCTTAGTTTAATTAACTAAAATGACAAGATACAAGAAAGACATACAAAATATAGGTCAATCCGAAGTTGAAAAACAAGATATATTTTCTCTTCTGAATTTATATCCGAAGTTATATATATTTATGTTGAAAGTTTGTGTTGTATATTGAGGCAGGAACATACCAGAATTATGGTTTTTGGACATTTCTATGACCCCTAGGCCATACAAACTTAATGAGGTGTTTCTCGAGCACCTTTTTTTTATTGAAAGCGTGCAGACGGGTGGAATTTAATTTTTATTATTATTTTCTATTTTTGACAGCATGATAAAGTACAGTTTTAATGTGTGTGAGTTAGGTAGTTTAACATCCGCTGCCAACTTAATGATATCACATGATAATAACATATTACGTGTTATATATCACTTGAGATAACTGGAGTCAATTTCAAACTGTGTATTGTTTTTGAGCTTCCATCGTAACAAAAACCTCTATTTTGTCTCAACTAAGAACCTCATCTTCGATACATTCCAACTTTATATCTTAAATATCTACCAAATATGTTTGCACACTCATCAACTAGAGCTTCCATCATAATACTACCAAAACTTCACGTTTACTTTTTCTTACGGCTTCGAATGTTGGGCTTGGGCCTTGCCTTGCTCAATCCTCATCTTTGCCAATCGAATTTTGTTGAACATGCGTGTCAGTGTACTACCTTTGTCAACTCACTCGAATCATGAAGGCAATTTGCTTTATATTCAACAACACTTGTTGATTCCAACATACAAATTAATTTAATGTAAAAACATGTGGTAAACAAATGAGTACTCAATTATCCAGCGTAATCGCTGAAGTAGTCACTCAGTAAACTCCTCTTTGCCCGGGCATGACTTGTTGACCTCTATAACTCTATCGGTTCTAGCTTCATATAATTTGCCCAAGATGATCTCAACTATAGTTGGATGAGACAGAATTAGTAGTGTAATAAGATAGTAAGCCATTCACTGGTTTTATAAACATAACTGTTAACATCTATACTTACAATTCCCTGTAACTGTTTCAATAAAGCTGTTGATGTGTTTTTTTTTTAATTTGGGGATTGGTCTTTGAGAGGAACTGGAGAGTATCTATATTCTAATTTTTCCTGACTAGACAGTTCTGCCCAGTTCCTACTCCAAAGCTTGAAATCCTTTATTCCTTCTGAAAAAACAAACATTCCCAACCGTAACTTTAAAGTTCTACCACACAAATATTCATTTTGGGTATCTTCACAATAAAATACAGTATTATAATCATTTTGGCTTTATAACCAATTGTAGCATGCATATATGACATTTTCAGCATTCTGGTTGGTTAAACGAGGGCTGTTGAATGGACAATATCGTCCTAGAGAGTCCTTGAAGTTTAAAGATAAATCTGGAGTGAACTGTTAGCCAAAATAACTATCGAAGTAATTTGAGGGTATCCTAGTGTCAAACTTCAAGGGTATACCAGATTAATAATTTTATGTAAATTACCCATTCTCACCAAAGATTCAGTATCAGCTGAAGCTTTGATCTGGAACACCTTTAAAGTTCAGAATAATTAAGATGAGAACTTGCAAATGTTTAAAGGATGTCTGTGAAGGCCCAAATTTCAGGTTCTCGTAACTCAAGTTCTCACTGTAATCCATTTGCATTGTCTAGTAAGAATTTGATCATGCACCTACCGTAAGTCTGTACTCGGTGCTACTTCTTTTGAAACTTAAGTAAGGCTAACTTACTTTTGCTCTGGTCTCTACAAAAATTATTGTATTGAGTAGAGTCTTTTATGTAATGGTTTTTTTTATACACTCTACCGCTCTCTTTCCTTTTTTTATTTATAATCCAATTCTGAAATTGATTTGTTGAAACAAAATTAGTCTGAATTATTTGAAAGTACCCTTACATTTACATAAGATAGACTTGGAAGCATGTTGACATATGCCTACCACTTAACATTACAAAGAAATAATTACACCAGCAATTATAGAGCTTGTCAGTGAACAGAGGGCATTTACAATTTCCTTATACGACTACCCAGAATTAAGAACATGTCATCATACTTCACCCATCTAATCACATGTGACTTCTGAATCATATTTCTCTCCATAAAGCTCAACTGTAACAGCTAGGAAATTTTTGTTAAAATTCAGTTGCCTAGGGCACTACCAAGATATTGAAATTTGGTTGACAAATCTAGGCATCCCCCAGTAAACAGTAGGCTATTTATAGAACGCAAACAGAATAAATGGACTCATTGGCGGAGCCCCGAGAGCGGCACCTTTACAGGGACGGCAACTTCGAGCTGAAAATACGTAATTTATTAAAAACTTGGGCAGTTCTTTGTATATTATAAAATAATTATTAGGGTTTCACACTGCGTAGCTTGTGTGAAACACTATTGTTTTTGTTAAAATTATTAGGGTTTCACACTGCGTAGCTTGTGTGAAACACTATTGTTTTTGTTAAAATTATTATTAGGGTTTCACACTGCGTAGCTTGTGTGAAACACTATTGTTTTTGTTAAAATTATTATTCTTATTATTATTATTCTTCTTTTGTTTTGAGTAGATCTCAGCAACTGATTGTCGGATCGTTACGATTTCTTCGGTTTTATCGGAAAAGTGGGTGTGACTTAGAGGATAAAGCTATTTTGAACGTTCTGCGACAATGCGAAATGTCCGAAATCACCGAAGCTATCGTTTTTAGAAATATTGCAGTAATTTTAACAATAATCATTGGATTTTAACTTTCGATGCATTTTGGCATAGCCGGAGACGGGGCACATAGCTACGCTACTTTTGATTTTTGATTTTCGGCAAATCTTCGCAGATATTAGGCGCTAAATTTAGAAAATTTAAATTTTTACAAAAAACTTTTTTATTTATGAATATTTTTTAATCGTGTTTTACACAAATATAACGAGTCCTGTGACTTGGGCAAAAATGTGAAAATTTTTTGTCTCGGTAATTTTCCTTGGCCCCCATTGGCTAATTCAGTTTTTCAGTCCTAGATTAATTATTTATTGTTCGATTTGTATAAAACAAAGTTCATATGCCCCGTTGTCTCAATTGTCATTTTTTTTGTTACCAATAGTGTTATCTGTCGGCACCGGAAGTGGCGTAAATTGACAAAAAACTACAATTTTGACAGTTAGGTACCATTTTTCGAAAGCAAATATTATTTTTTTCAAATCTGGTATAACTGAAATTGTGCGCCCTTTAAAGGCGCACAAAATGTTGGGACCATTTTTTTTAATTTCGATTCCGTTTTCGGGCTATTTCGATTAAAAGGTGAAAAAAGGTGTAAAATTAAGCTATTTACAACCCATTCAGCGTTTTCATATTTTAAAATATTACTTCGTAACTTTCATAAACTCGTAGCAATAATCTATACGGAGAGAATGTATGTGAAAATTAATTTGTAATATGCGCAGTTGCCGAGAAATGGGCAATTTTGCATGAGTCACTTTTTACGCTAGTTTGCCTGTAAAAGAGTCAATTATTATTCGATTTTCATAAAAGTGACACCATTTGATGTGTAATGTCAATTTTAACTAGGTCAAACCAATTTAACATTTTCAATATCACCGGAAATGACGTAATTTGGGCAAAAATTGTATTTATAGCCTTCGAAACCAGTAATTTATTCAAATGAGTCATATTTGTTATTTGTTTAAAATTTTGATATTTGATTCAAATCAACTAATACAATGAACCCTTACGATCATATAGATATCACAAAATGGTTTCTAACTTGTTCAGTTGCGGAGAAATAGGCAATTTTCAACAGGTCACTTTTTAAGGTTTTTTTGTCAAAAAAAGTGTCAATTATTATTCGATTTTCATGAAATTTTCACTGTGTGATACATAATGCCATTTACGATATCATACAAGTAATTTAAGATTTTCATTATCACCGGAAGTAACGACATTTTGGCAAAAACTGTATTTTTAGCCTTCAAAACAGATATTTTATTCAAATGAATCAGATTTGTAATGTTTTTAAAATTATGATATTTGATTCCAATCAACAAATAGAATGAACTCATTCGATCATACAGATACCTCAAAATGGTTTCTAACTTGTACGGTTGCAGAGAAATAGGCGATTTTCTACAAGTCATTTTTCAAGGTTTTTGGTCTATAAAGGTGGCAATTATTATAGGATTTACATAAAATTTTCAACATGTGATGATGCTATTTCTGATTTCATAAACCAATTTAACATTTTCATTATCACCGGAAGTAATGTAATTTTGACAGGATCACTGACATGTAGCAAATGAATTGATTGCTGGATTTGGTTGTTTCTGCGTCCATTTTATTTCATGTGTGCAATGCTTATGTGGAAACCTGTTTAACGGTTTCATTGGTACCGGAAGTGACATAAGTTCAAGGGTAACGTGGCACCGGTGAAACCCGTCATTACTGCTTCGCAGTTCTAGTTAGGGTTTCACACTGCGTAGCTTGTGTGAAACACTATTGTTTTTGTTAAAATTATTATTCTTATTATTATTATTCTTCTTTTGTTTTGAGTAGATCTCAGCAACTGATTGTCGGATCGTTACGATTTCTTCGGTTTTATCGGAAAAGTGGGTGTGACTTAGAGGATAAAGCTATTTTGAACGTTCTGCGACAATGCGAAATGTCCGAAATCACCGAAGCTATCGTTTTTAGAAATATTGCAGTAATTTTAACAATAATCATTGGATTTTAACTTTCGATGCATTTTGGCATAGCCGGAGACGGGGCACATAGCTACGCTACTTTTGATTTTTGATTTTCGGCAAATCTTCGCAGATATAAGGCGCTAAATTTAGAAAATTTAAATTTTTACAAAAAACTTTTTTATTTATGAATATTTTTTAGTCGTGTTTTACACAAATATAACGAGTCCTCTGACTTGGGCAAAAATGTGAAAAATTTTTGTCTCGGTAATTTTCCTTGGCCCCCATTGGCTAATTCAGTTTTTCAGTCCTAGATTAATTATTTATTGTTCGATTTGTATAAAACAAAGTTCATATGCTCCGTTGTCTCAATTGTCATTTTTTTTGTTACCAATAGTGTTATCTGTCGGCACCGGAAGTGGCGTAAATTGACAAAAAACTACAATTTTGACAGTTAGGTACCATTTTTCGAAAGCAAATATTATTTTTTTCAAATCTGGTATAACTGAAATTGTGCGCCTTTTAAAGGCGCACAAAATGTTGGGACCATGTTTTTTAATTTCGATTCCGTTTTCGGGCTATTTCGATTAAAAGGTGAAAAAAGGTGTAAAATTAAGCTATTTACAACCCATCCAGCGTTTTCATATTTTAAAATATTACTTCGTAACTTTCATAAACTCGTAGCAATAATCTATACGGAGAGAATGTATGTGAAAATTAATTTGTAATATGCGCAGTTGCCGAGAAATGGGCAATTTTGCATGAGTCACTTTTTACGCTAGTTTGCCTGTAAAAGAGTCAATTATTATTCGATTTTCATAAAAGTGACACCATTTGATGTGTAATGTCAATTTTAACTAGGTCAAACCAATTTAACATTTTCAATATCACCGGAAATGACGTAATTTGGGCAAAAATTGTATTTATAGCCTTCGAAACCAGTAATTTATTCAAATGAGTCATATTTGTTATTTGTTTAAAATTTTGATATTTGATTCAAATCAACTAATACAATGAACCCTTACGATCATATAGATATCACAAAATGGTTTCTAACTTGTTCAGTTGCGGAGAAATAGGCAATTTTCAACAGGTCACTTTTTAAGGTTTTTTGTCAATAAAAGTGTCAATTATTATTCGATTTTCATGAAATTTTCACTGTGTGATACATAATGCCATTTACGATTTCATACAAGTAATTTAAGATTTTCATTATCACCAGAAGTAACGTCATTTTGGCAAAAACTGTATTTTTAGCCTTCAAAACAGATATTTTATTCAAATGAATCAGATTTGTAATGTTTTTAAAATTAAGATATTTGATTCCAATCAACAAATAGAATGAACTCATTCGATCATACAGATACCTCAAAATGGTTTCTAACTTGTACGGTTGCAGAGAAATAGGCGATTTTCTACAAGTCATTTTTCAAGGTTTTTGGTCTATAAAGGTGGCAATTATTATAGGATTTACATAAAATTTTCACCATGTGATGATGCTATTTCTGATTTCATAAACCAATTTAACATTTTCATTATCACCGGAAGTAATGTAATTTTGACAGGATCACTGACATGTAGCAAATGAATTGATTGCTGGATTTGGTTGTTTCTGCGTCCATTTTATTTTATGTGTGCAATGCTTATGTGGAAAACTGTTTAACGGTTTCATTGGTACCGGAAGTGACATAAGTTCTAGGGTAACGTGGCACCGGTGAAACCCGTCATTACTGCTTCGCAGTTCTAGTTCTTATTATTATTATTATTCTTCTTTTGTTTTGAGTAGATCTCAGCAACTGATTGTCGGATCGTTACGATTTCTTCGGTTTTATCGGAAAAGTGGGTGTGACTTAGAGGATAAAGCTATTTTGAACGTTCTGCGACAATGCGAAATGTCCGAAATCACCGAAGCTATCGTTTTTAGAAATATTGCAGTAATTTTAACAATAATCATTGGATTTTAACTTTCGATGCATTTTGGCATAGCCGGAGACGGGGCACATAGCTACGCTACTTTTGATTTTTGATTTTCGGCAAATCTTCGCAGATATTAGGCGCTAAATTTAGAAAATTTAAATTTTTACAAAAAACTTTTTTATTTATAAATATTTTTTAATCGTGTTTTACACAAATATAACGAGTCCTCTGACTTGGGCAAAAATGTGAAAATTTTTTGTCTCGGTAATTTTCCTTGGCCCCCATTGGCTAATTCAGTTTTTCAATCCTAGATTAATTATTTATTGTTCGATTTGTATAAAACAAAGTTCATATGCCCCGTTGTCTCAATTGTCATTTTTTTTGTTACCAATAGTGTTATCTGTCGGCACCGGAAGTGGCGTAAATTGACAAAAAACTACAATTTTGACAGTTAGGTACCATTTTTCGAAAGCAAATATTATTTTTTTCAAATCTGGTATAACTGAAATTGTGCACCCTTTAAAGGCGCACAAAATGTTGGGACCATTTTTTTTAATTTCGATTCCGTTTTCGGGCTATTTCGATTAAAAGGTGAAAAAAGGTGTAAAATTAAGCTATTTACAACCCATTCAGCGTTTTCATATTTTAAAATATTAC